TGGATTCCCTCATACCTCATGCTCTGGTACTCATACATGTAGGAATCGTTATGTGGAAACCTCCTACATCCTATATAGTTTTGTCCGCAATAGTTAAGAAGGGCATGAGGTATATCGAGGAAAGGGAATTATGTACATACGACGAGGGCCAATAAATGATTTATTATAGGGGGCTGTGTCCTATTATCCCTCAAAGATAACTTTAGTCTCCCTAGAGTCGAATACAAGGAGGGGAGTGCACTAACTAGTAGGGTTATAAATCATACCATATGCTGCGAGAACCTATTTCCCTCACTTGGATTAGACTACTTACACACTCAGCTAGCACACAACGCCGGAAAGCGAAGGTCAGCAGAGTAAGATGCTGTGCCACACTCCAGCCACTTACTCAGGGGAGGTCGCAAGGAAGGGAACCGCCTTAAAAGAGTAGTACAAGGCTCTGACAACTTGTGATATTGTGATGTAACGTAATGAGTATGCACTGTGTCATCTGTTGAGTGGACCGTTGGCCTATATCTTTAGGAAAATGTTGAAATCAAGTATCAATATTCACGATGTATTAATTGTGAAGTTCTAAATACCGCTATATAGACTACAATTGTTTATATAGTTTACATGGAGGTCTGTGTAAATAAGGTTGTAAAACAGCTTCTCAAGATCAAATTTTGCAGCTGAAAGCGTACGCCCCCCAATGACAATGACGTCATCACCTGAAACTAAGTCTGTATCCTCCACATGCGAGCCGGACAGACAGATGTTTAGCGAACGCGATATCGTGCACTCACTCGCCCATCGTCGAACGAAGACGGAGGAACCAGACCAATGCTCTTCCGCAAGAAAGTTTTCCGTAGGTTCGCCCTCCTGCTGGCGACGACAGTAATGTTTAGCTATAATTTCCTCTCTCGTGTGGATGACAGATCTTCCGTTGAGACGAAGAAATTGACCAAGTCATCCTATCAGCGAGGAGGCCGCGGCGATCCTCCCAAGATTGTTTTGAAGGAAATAAAGGAAAGTCGCGTTAAAGAGAATCAGGCATCGCGGAGAAAGCGTGTGAGGGAAATGTGCAGGCAATTTAATGTTACCGAAGACATAGCTTATACAGTACACAGAAGACATTACTATTTCTTCGATCACAACGCTACTGTCTGCGCCGTGCCGAAAGTACGTCCGAAGAGGCATTGTGGGGAGTGAAACCCTATGGAAATGTCAATTAATAAGTATATGATAAATTCGCTTTATGGAATGATCTGTGATATATTGCAAAAAGTTGAACGGTACGCACATCTTTTTTATTCTTTAATGAATCGTTAGTTTATGGATGTATACGTATAGTTGGCGAAAGTATGTATTTTCGTCGATTATAAATATTCTACTTCATAATCTGTTTTCACATTTTGTAGCTAAACATTGTCATAAGCCTGTGTTTTTCAACGCATATATATATAATGTATATTTATATTTATTATATATTTAAAAGGGCGAATTTATCGAACAATTTTCGTCAATGGTATCTAGATCTATGTTCGCTAAGAGTGGTCGAACACATTGCTATGACTATCTCTCTCTCTCTCTCTCTCTCTCTCTGTCTCTCTCTCTCTCTCTCTCTCTCTCTCTCTCTCTCTCTCTCTCTCTCTCTCTCACCCATAGGCTATCCGAATATTTATTTATCTGTTAGCTTCTTCCCCATTATCTCTCTTTCTCTTTCTTTCTTCTCTCTCTCTCTCTCTTCATTTTCAGTTATCTATCCATCCATAGTAATCTGTGACACCTCGCTGACTTATAAAATTGTCTTAACCATCGTTAGAATGTCTTCAAATTAAAATTCAAAATTCCACTTGTTACAATGGTTATTATTATTTTTTTTAATTTTTTTTAAACAAATACTACTTATACACTACATATGAATATAAGATTAATATAGGTTTCATAATGGTTGTATATGTAATTCGAGCTTCATCTTTTGACCTTATCTTAAACATATTCACGTTACGAATGATTCAAATACTCAAATGTCATCCAAAACATGTACGGGCGCAAGTGTTCTTAATTTTTCGATGTTAATTTACCTTCTTAGTGGTTTGTTTTGATTTTATAACTGGTGGTTGTTAGTTCGTTAACCTGTGCAATTTTCGCTCATGTCTCGTGTGTATGTGTGTGTGTATTTCTCCATTCAGGTTAGATATTTGAAAGTAGCGCAAGGTATATATATATATATATATATATATATATATATATATATATATATATATATATATATATATATATACACGCACACTAAATTCACATTTTACATAATATCTACCAAATATTCCACAAATTTTACATATAAAATAAAATTTTGTACCACATTTTCACAAATTTTACAAAAAGCTGAAAATTTCTACCGCATTTCCCACAAACTTTACAAAAAAAAAAAAAAATCTACATTTCTACAGAAAATAGATACAGATAAAAAAAAACTACCACATTTCTCCAAATTTTAGAATAATATGTTAATATT